TGTTCTTTTATTTTCTATTCTACTTTGTTCTGTTCTTTTATTTTCTACTCTGTTCTGTTCTTTTATTTTCTATTCCCCTGTTTTATTCTATTCTACTTTGTTCTATTCTTTTCTATTATATTCTACTCTGTTCTGTTCTTTTATTTTCTATTCTGCTCTGTTCTATTCTTTTTATTTTCTATTCTACTGTTTTACTCAATTCTTTTTATTTTCTGTTCTATTCTTTTATTTTCTATTCTCCTGTTTTATTCTATTCTTTTCTATTCTACTCTGTTCTGTTCTTTTCTATTCTCCTGTTTTATTCTTTTCTATTCTACTCGGTTCTGTTCTTTTATTTTCTATTCTCCTGTTTTATTCCATTCTACTTTGTTCTGTTCTTTTCTGTTCTATTCTGCTCTGTTCTTTTTATTTTCTATTCTACTGTTTTATTCTATTCTTTTCTATTCTACTCTGTTCTATTCTTTTCTATTCTATTCTGCTCTGTTCTTTTTATTTTCTATTCTCCTGTTTTATTCCTTTCTACTTTGTTCTATTCTTTTCTATTCTATTCTGCTCTGTTCTTTTTATTTTCTATTCTCCTGTTTTATTCTATTCTTTTCTATTCTAATCTATTGTATTCTGTTCTTTTTTTGAAATTCAAAGTTCAGAAGACCGCTATATTCTCTTTTCTTTTCCATTTGAAATTCCCATTTCGGAAGACTGCTATATTTTTTTTTTTCTATTCTTTTCTGCTCTATTCAGCTTTTCTTCTTTTTTTTTTTTTTTTTTTTTTTTTTTTTTTTTTTAAAGTGGATTTTTTTTCCTTGTTGCTGGGCAGAATAAAATGCAAAACGCATCAATAAAATGCACTACATGCATTTCTGCAGCGTCTCCATTGAAGTCTATTGAACCAAAGCGCAACGTTTTCGTTTAAAAATGTCCCCGTCCCTTTCCAAAAAACGCATCAGGGTGAAAACGCAGAGATGTGAACCTGTCCCAGAGGAAATCATGTTACCTGGACTGCTGTGCGTTTTCTGCAAACGCGATTAGGTGTGAATCTAGACTTGGTGCCGGTGCGGTTTAGGAGTTTGAAGTCACACCTGAAATCGCTTCTAGTGCATGTCCGCGTCGTAACCCGTGCGATTTGCCGCGACGCGATTTCTAAAGCAATTCTTGCGTGACTTTTTCGGCAAGTTTGCTGCGATTTCACATACGTGGACTATAATGGAAATCGCACTGCAAAACTTTTCGTTCTGCAACCGGAACTGCGAGTGCTGATGTGAACTATGACACCGACCACCATATCACCTACTTTCTGTGCGTTCCGGATGCGTTCTGCATGCGCATTTTTGATGCCCTTTTGGTGAGTTCCAGTGCTTTTTATATGTTTCAGTTCATTTTCCCCCCTCTGTCCTTTTCAATTTAAATAGGAACATGTGCGTTTTTGATGTGTTTTACCGTGTTCCGGCGCATTTGTTATGCATTTTACCGCGTTCCGGTGCGTTTTTGATGCGTTATACTGCATTTCAGTACAGTTCTGTGCAGGAAAAAATGCAGCCTGTTCTACTTTTCGTTCTGCAACCGGAACGCACCGGAACTGCCAGCTCTGATGTGAACTCTGACACCGACCACCATATCCCCTACTTTCTGTGCGTTCTGGATGCGTTCTGCATGCGCATTTTGATGCCTTTTTGGTGCGTTCCAGTGCGTTTTATATGTTCCAGTGCATTTTCCCCCCTCTGTCTTTTTCTTCAATTCAAATTGGAATGTGTGCGTTTTTTATGCGTTTTACAGCGTTCCGGTGCGTTTTTGATGCGTCTTACTGCGTTTCAGTTCAGCTTTCTTCTACTTTTCGTTCTGCAACCGTAACGCACTGAAACTGCAAGCGCTGATGTGAACAGTTCATTCTCCCCCTCCCCTCTCTTTATCTTCAATTTAAATAGGGACATGTGCATTTTTGATGCGTTTTACCGCATTCCGGTGCGTTTTTGATGCATCTCACCACGTTCCAGTACAGTTCTGTGCAGGAAACACGCAGCCTGTTCTACTTTTTCGTTCTGCAACCGGAACGGCAAGCACTGATGCGAACTACGACACCGACAACCATATCGCCTACTTTCTGTGCGTTCCGGATGCATTTCTGCATGCGCATTTTTGATGCATTTTGCCGCGTTCCAGTACAGTTCTGTGCAGGAAAAAATGCCGCCTGTTCTACTTTTCGTTCTGCAACTGCAAGCCCTGATGTGAACTATGACACCGACCACCCTCTCAGCTATTTTCTGTGCGTTTTGGATGCAGAAAAAAACGCACCTGAAACGCATGGAGTGTGAACCGGCCCTAAACGGACTGTAATGCGTTTCTGCAAAACGCACTGAAAAAACGCATTGGTGTGAACAGCGCCTAAATGCATTTTTTTAATGCTGATTCTCTCTGCCAGCTTCTAGCAGCACAATCCGGCATTTTTCCGAGTATTTATTGACGCCCGTGTGTGTGAGCCCTGAGGCCGCAATTCACCGTCCCGACTTGCCCCGCCCGGACGAGTTTTGTCCACTGCCCGAAGATATTGAAACCTTTATAATAGGAGGGTTGGCCGCCGCCGTCAGTAATGAAAGAATAATGCGCCTCAATCGCATCCTCCCCGCCAATAAATCCCCTGAGCTCATCCTTCGTGTGTGGCGACTCATTCCCCGACAATTCACAGCAGATTTACTCTGCATGAGTGACACCGATGGTGTCATTTACAGGATTTGAATATTTGAAAATGCCCTCTTCTCGCTCTCCTATGTTTTTTTTTTTTTTTTTGGGGGGGGGGTAACAGTACATATCCGCCATGCAGGGCCGGGACAAGGGGTGGGCAAGAGGGGGGGCTGCCCCGGGAGCAATACTTTACTATAGGGAAGGGGGCGCCTTCCTTCTGTTACAAGGCTGACAGGAGTAGTGACAGCAGTGGGACTGCGTTGGAATAGCGCCCGAGCAGGGGCGGACTGACCATTCGCGAACTCGGGCACTGCCTGAGGGCCCGGGGTCAGTAGGGGGCCCCATAAAATGCCCCTGGTACCTTTTTTATAGGCTTTTTTGGGTGTGTTTTGAGTGTGGGCAAGGACACACGAGCCCCATGATCCCCAGTTGCCTGGGGGCCCCGTGAGTTTTTAATGAAACGTCCACACAAGCATGTGCCCAGTGTTAAAACTGTGCGCTTCCAGGTCAATGCAAAAACCTAATGATAGATTGAGGGGGGGGGGCTGGGTGGTATCGTGTGAGGTGGGGAGCGTCACTTGAGAAGATTCTGCTGGGGTAGTCGCAGGGGCGGACTGACAACTCATGGGGCCCCCCGGGCAATAGGGGATCATGGGGCCCCTGTGTCCTTGCCCACACTCAAAAAAGTCTATGAAAAAGGTACCAGGGGCATCTCATGGGGCCCCCTACTGACCCCGGGCCCTCGGGCAGGGCCCGAGTTTCCAAATGGTCAGTCCGCCCCTGGGTAGTCGCTACTTCTATCAGCTTAGCGTGAAAAGTGACAAACAGAATCAGGAGAGCAGAAGAGAGCCGGGAGGTGGGGCGGGCTGTGCTCTCTCTCCTGTCATTGCAGCGCTCCTGCATCAGGACAGTCAGATCGGAATTGTGCAAGGTATCTTTATCTGCCCCCATTGTCTCCCAGCAAATAGGAGATGGGGTGGGGTAAGGAAACCCTGGGGCAGAGCTGGGACAAGGAAGGAGGGGGGGCAGGAAGGATGGCTGTTCTGGGTGTTGTGGTATCACGTGAGGTGGGGGGGGGGGGCGCCACTTAAAAAGCTCCTGCTGCTGCAAGCTGACTGGTGTGGTGCCGGCAGCACCACTACTCCTATCAGCTTAGTGTGGGAAGTGACAAGCAGAATCAGGAGAGCAGAAGAGATCCGGGAGGAGGTGCAGGCTGTGCTCTCTCTCCCCTCCAGCTACTTCTCCTGCCACTGCAGCGCTCCTGCATCAGGACCAGGGGCGGACTGACAACTCATGGGGCCCCTAGCCAATAGGGGATCATGGTGCCCCTGTGTCCTTGCCCACACTCAAAGCATACCCAAAAAAACCTATAAAAGGTACCAGGGGCATTTCATGGGGCCCTTTACTGACCCCGGACAGTGCTCCAATGGTCAGTCCGCCCCTGATCAGGACGGACAGATCGGGATTGTGCAACTTTTCCTTACCTGCCACCATTGCCTCCCAGCAAAGAGGAGATGGGGTCGGGTAAGGAAACCCTGGGGCAGAGCTGGGACAAGGAAGGGGGGGCAGGAGGAGAGGCTGTCATGGGTACTGTGGTATCATGTGAGGTGGGGGAGGGGGGGGCACTTAAAAAGTTCCTGCTGCTACAGGCTGCCCGGTGTAGTGACAGCAGCACCGCTACTCCGATCAGCTTAGCATGGGAATGAAAGAGTCAAGAAAGCAGAAGAGAGCAGGGAGGAGGTGCAGGCTGTGCTCTCTCTCCCCTCCAGCTCCTCCTCCTGCCACTGCAACGCTCAGGGCGGCCAGATCGGGATTGTGCAAGGTTTCCTTACCTGCCCCCATCGCCTCCCAGCAAAGAGGAAGTCCTGACGCAGGAGCACTGCAGTGGCAGGAGGAGGAGCTGGAGGGGAGAGAGAGCACAGCCTGCACCTCCTCCCGCCTCTCTGCTTGCCACTTCCCATGCTAAGCTGACAGGAGTAGTGACACCGTTGTCCCTACATGTCAGCTTGTAGCAGATGGAACTTTTTAAGTGGCACCCTCTCCCCCCCCACCTCACATGACACTACAGCACCCAGGGCAGCCGCCCCTCCTGCCCCCCCCCCCTTCCTTGTTCCAGCCTAGCTCCTTACCCGACCCCATCTCCTCCCAGCAAAGAGGAAATGGGGTTAAGTTTTTCTTCCTTACCTCAAAATTTTTATAAAAGGGTGTGAACCCTCCTTGAGTCACCCTAATGACCCCAATTGTGTGTCTTTGACTTCAGCTATAAGAACTTGGGGTGTCGGAACACAGCGCCCTCCACTGGTGGCCAGCAGAGCATCGATGACATGGAGCTGAAAGAGGAATGGCAGGATGAGGAGTTTCCCAGGTATGAAAAAAAAAAATCGCTCGCTAAGTGTGGCCCCCTGGGGCCCCTGATGATGACTTTTCTGTCCGTTGGCTAAACTGTTGCAAGTGTTTATTAAAAAAGAAAAAGGAAAATCTAAATTTTGACCTTCCCTAATGATCAAAATGAAGGTGGCTTCATGTGCCGACACATCTCCATGTAGGCAGCTTGTTTCACCTGCTGACTCGTCACCATCCACAGGCAGCTTAACTCTTCAATAATATACAGACGTTAAAGCGATTTGAAGTCTCGGTTCACACCTATGCGTTTTCTGCCGCTTTTTGCAATTTTAATTTGCCCGCCAACAAGTTTAAAAAAAAAAAAGTGTCAAAAATGCGAAACGGATCAAAGGCAAAGTGCATAGGTGTGAACCCTGGGGCCCGGGATTTGTTTTAACAAAAATGTCTATACTTACCCGCTCTGTGCAGCGGCGGACTGACAAATCATGGGGCCCCCGGGCAATAGGGGATCATGGGGCCCCTGTGTCCTCGCCCACACCCAAATAAGCCTATGAAAAAGGTACCAGGGGCATCTCATGGGGCCCACTACTGACCCCGGGCCCTCGGGCAGTGCCCGAGTTTCCAAATGGTCAGTTCGCCCCTGGCTCTGTGTAATGGTTTTGCACAGAGAAGCCCGGATCCTCCTCTTCTTGGGTCCCCCGCAGACTCTCCTGGCCCCTCCCTCTTGTTGGGTGCCCCCACAACAAGCCAGCTGGCTATGGGGGGCACCCGCTGCTCCGTGGGTCCATTCGCTCACGGAGCCGCGGCTTGGCCCCGCCCTTTCTCTCTTTCTTGGCTCACTGGCTGTGATTGATAGCCAATGGCTCCCGCTTCGGTCTCAGCCAATGAGAAGAGGGAATCCTGGGATTCCCTGGGGAATCCTCAAGGGGCGTACAATCTAAGGTCCCCGACCCTCAAGGGGTGTACAATCTAAGGGTCCCCGACCCTCAAGGGGCGTACAATCTAAGGTCCCCGACCCTCAAGGGGCGTACAATCTAAGGTCCCCGACCCTCAAGGGGCGTACAATCTAAGGTCCCCGACCCTCAAGGGGCGTACAATCTAAGGTCCCCGACCCTCAAGGGGCGTACAATCTAAGGTCCCCGACCCTCAAGGGGCGTACAGTCTAAGGTCCCCGACCCTCAAGGGGCGTACAGTCTAAGGTCCCCGACCCTCAAGGGGCGTACAGTCTAAGGTCCCCGACCCTCAAGGAGCGTACAGTCTAAGGTCCCCGACCCTCAAGTGGCGTACAGTCTAAGGTCCCCGACCCTCAAGGGGCGTACAGTCTAAGGTCCCCGACCCTCAAGGGGCGTACAGTCTAAGGTCCCCGACCCTCAAGGGGCGTACAGTCTAAGGTCCCCGACCCTCAAGGGGCGTACAGTCTAAGGTCCCCGACCCTCAAGGGGCGTACAATCTAAGGTCCCCGACCCTCAAGGGGCGTACAATCTAAGGTCCCCGACCCTCTCAAGGGGCGTACAATCTAAGGTCCCTAACCCTCAAGGGGCGTACAATCTAAGGTCCCTAACTCGCATTCATACACATACTAGGGACAATGTAGACAGGAGCCAATTCACCTACCAGCATGTCTTTGGAGTGTGGGAGGAAACTGGAGTACCCGGAGGAAACCCACGCAGGTAGAACATGCAAACTCCAGGCAGGCGGTGTTTCCAGTGTAAGAAGACCATGCCTTTCCTAAACGCTCGACTAAAGACGCAACCGACACTGACTGACTGCATGGAAGAAACTGGAAGAGTCCAGCTAGGACTAGACAGGAGGGGAGGACAGAGGGAAATACCAAATCACATCAGTAAACAAGTTGCAAACCACCACTAGATGTCAGCGTACAATTCTTAGTGTTTTTGGGGGTTTCTAGTTTCCAGGCTGAGAATGGGGTGATAAAAAAAAAATCCCTGCAGATCGATTTCCACCCTTAACTGTACGATTTGATCTCTTTATACCTGGAAACGGTTACGGTGTGGAAGCCGTTCACCGATCTATCCGGATGTCTACTTTGGGTCCGAAAATGTGAAGGTGTCACATCTGTACCGTCTGTCTTATCGATTGTATATATTCGACTACATGGGGCGGGAAGACGGCTAATGATCGGCAGATCGAACGTCATCGTGTCATCTTGTCGTTTCTGCAGACCCCTCCCCGAGGAGACCATTCCAGAGGATGATGTGGATTTAAAAGAAGAGGACCTCTCGGGTATGGAATGTGAATGTCCTGTTATTGGGGGGGGGGGGGGGGTGACAACATGGGGGAGGGGGTGACACCATGGGGGAGGGGGTGACACCATGGGGGAGGGGTGACACATGGGGGAGGGGTGACACTATGGGGGAGGGGGTGACACTATGGGGGGAGTGACACTATGGGGGAGGGAATGACACTATGGGGGGAATGACACTATGGGGGGGGGAATGACACCATGGGGGAAGGAATGACACTATGGGGGGAGTGACACCATGGGGGGAGGAGGGAGTGACACTATGGGGGGAGTGACACCATGGGGGAAGGAATGACACTATGGGGGGAGTGACACCATGGGGGAGGGAGTGACACCATGGGGGGAGGGAGTGACACCATGGGGGAGGGAGTGACACCATGGGGGAGGGAGTGACACCATGGGGGAGGAAGTGACACCAGGGGGGGAGTGACACCATGGGGGAGGGAGTGGGACACTATGGGGGGAGTGACACCATGAGGGGAGGGAGTGACACCATGAGGGGAGGGAGTGACACCATGAGGGACACCATGAGGGAGTGACACCATGAGGGGAGGGAGTGACACCATGAGGGGAGGGAGTGACACTATGGGGGGGAGTGACACCATGGGGGAGGGAGTGACACCATGAGGGGAGGGAGTGACACCATGAGGGGAGGGAGTGACACCATGGGGGAGGGAGTGACACACCATGGGGGAGGGAGTGACACCATTGGCTCCTTTATTTTACATTGTTCCATGTGTCCTCGTTCCCTCTATTCTGGTCACAGCCGGCCCCGCCAGCACCCTGGACCTGTGTGGGAATCGCCACGTGAAGAGGCGCCTGTCGGCCCCGGAGATCAGCTTCAACCTGGAGAACAGTCAGGATTCCTCCTGCGAAATCCGCAACCAGACCACCGACGAGGATCTCGACTTTGACATCGACGATCTGGAGACGCCGACCAGCAGTGAGATCTCGGAATTTGCTAGTATGAGCCACGAGTATGAGTGGGATGGTGAGTGACCGTCCGCCGACCTCTGGTCTGTACACCTGCTGTGCCCATTATGAGGGGTTCCCACCATCCCTGTGCCGAGTTCCCGGGTCTGTACGCCCGCTGTGCCCATTATGAGGGGTTCCCACCATCCCTGTGCCGAGTTCCCGGGTCTGTACGCCCGCTGTGCCCCATTATGAGGGGTTCCCACCCTCCCTGTGCCGCACGTTCTTATTTCTTTCCTCGTTTCCCTCCGACAGATGACTTGCCGAAGGTGAATGGAGCCCAGGAGCACCCCCCCACCGAGACCCTGGTGACCGACATGGAGGACCACAGCGGGCGGAGGTGGCGGATCTTCCTCATGGGGCAGCACAAGGTGGACATGACCGCTATAGAACCGTACAGGAAGGTCGTCTCCCACGGAGGTAATCCAGCGCTAGTCCTCCCCTCCTGTTTAATGCTAGTTAGTTCAGTCCTCCCCTCCTGTTTAATGCTAGTTAGTCCAGTCCTCCCCTCCTGTTTAATGCTAGTTAGTCCAGTCCTCCCCTCAGCTCTGCACTGTGTTGGATTCTATACTCTTTTTTGTTTTTTTTTCAGGCTATTCTGGTGACAGTTTGAACGCAATCGTTGTTTTTGCGTCATGTTACCTGCCGGAGAGCCGCGTTCCCGGATACCAATACATCATGGACAATCTGTTCAGGTACATGCAATCCCTGCGTCACATGTGAGCAACAACATGGAATATGTGTGACCCCTCCCACCACAGAAACGCACTCCAGATCCCTCCCACACGCATCTCGGCATATGCATTTTTTTATGCATTTTAAATGCGTTCCAGTGTGTTTTTTGTTGCGTTTTGATGCATTTCCAGATGAATTTCAGAATTGTACCCTTTTTTTTTCCACTCAACTGTGGTCAAGGTTGTTTTTTATGCCTTTAGATGTGTTCCAGTGTGTTTTTTGATGCATTGCAGTGTGTTTTTGTTGCGCTTTTGATATATTCCAGTGTTTTTTTTTTTTTTTTTTTATATGCATTCCAGTGTGTTTTTGTTACATTTTAGATGCATTTGTGTGTTTTTGTTGCGTTTTGATGCATTTCCAGATGAATTTCAGAATTTTACCCCTTTTTTTTTCACTCTACTGTGGTCAAGGTTGTTTTTTATGCCTTTTGATGCGTTCCAGTGTGTGTTTTGTTGCATTATGATGCGTTCCAGTGTGTTTTTTGTTGCGTTTTGATGCGTTCAGTCTGTTTTTTGATGCGTTCCAGTGTGTTTTTGTTGCGTTTTAGATACATTCCAGTGTTTTTTTTTTGCATTTTAGATGCGTTGCAGTGTGTTTTTTGTTGCGTTTTTGATACATTCCAGTGTGTTTTTGTTACATTTTAGATGCATTTGTGTTTTTTTGTTGCGTTTTTGATGCATTTCCAGATGAATTTCAGAATTTTACCCCTTTTTTCACTCTATTGTGGTCAAGGTTGTTTTTTTATGCCTTTTGATGCGTTCCAGTGTGTTTTTTGTTGCATTATGATGCGTTCCAGTGTGTTTTTTGTTGCGTTTTGATGCGTTCCAGTGTGTGTTTTGTTGCATTTTGATGCGTTCCAGTGTGTGTTTTGTTGCGTTTTGATGCGTTCCAGTGTGTTTTTTGTTGCGTTTTGATGCGTTCCAGTGTGTTTTTTGATGCGTTCCAGTGTGTTTTTTGATGCGTTCCAGTGTGTTTTTTTGCGTTTTAGATACATTCCAGTGTTTTTTTTGCATTTTAGATGCGTTGCAGTGTGTTTTTTGTTGCGTTTTTGATACATTCCAGTGTGTTTTTGTTACATTTTAGATGCGTTTGTGTTTTTTTGTTGCGTTTTTTTTTGATGCATTTCCAGATGAATTTCAGAATTTTACCCCTTTTTTCACTCTACTGTGGTCAAGGTTGTTTTTTATGCCTTTTGATGCGTTCCAGTGTGTTTTTTTTTTGTGTTTTGATGCGTTCCAGTGTGTTTTTATTTTTTATACATTCCAGTGTGGTTTTGTTGTATTTTAGATACATTTGTGTGTTTTTTGTTGCATTTTGATGAGTTCCAGTGTGTTTTTGTTGCGCTTTAGATGCGTTCCAGTGTGCTTTTGTTGCATTTTTTTATATATTCCAGTGGTTTTTTTTTGCATTTTAGATGCGTTGCAGTGTTTTTTGTTGTGTTTTGATGCATTCCAGTGTGTTTTTGTTACATTTTAGATGCATTTGTGTGTTTTTGTTGCGTTTTAATGCATTTCCAGATTAATTTCAGAATTTTACCCCTTTTTTTCACTCTACTGTGGTCAAGGTTGTTTTTTATGCCTTTTGATGCATTCCAGTGTGTTTTTTGTTGCATTTTGATGCGTTCCAGTGTGTTTTTTGTTGTGTCTTGATACATTCCAGTGTGCTTTTGTTGCGTTTTTACATTCCAGTGTTTTTTTTGCATTTTAGATGCGTTGCAATGTGTTTTTTGTTGTGTTTTGATGCATTTCCAGATGAATTTCAGAATTTTACCCCTTTTTTTTCCCTCTACTGTGGTCAAGGTTGTTTTTTATGCCTTTTGATGCGTTCCAGTGTGTTTTTGTAGCATTTTAGATACATTGCAGTGTGTTTTTGTTGCGTTTTCCATACATTCCAGTGTTTTTATTGCATTTTAGATGCGTTCCAGTGTGTTTTTTTGTTGCGTTTTGATGCATTCCAGTGTGTTTTTGTTACATTTTAGATGCATTTGTGTGTTTTTTGTTGCGTTTTGATGCATTTCCAGATGAATTTCAGAATTTTACCTTTTTTTTTTCACTCTATTGTGGTTAAGGTTGTTTTTTTATGCCTTTTGGTGCGTTCCGGTGCATTTTTGATGCGTTTTACCACATTCCAGTGCAGTTCTGTGCGGGAAAAAATGCAGCCCGTTCTACTTTTTTCTTTTCTGCAACCGGAACGCACTGGAACTGCAAGTGAACTATAACACTCACCACCATATCATCTACTTTCTGTGCGTTTTGGGTGCAAAAAAAAAAAAGGAACTGAAATGCATGGAGTGTGAACTGACCCCCAATGACTGCCATTTATTAGTGCTTAGCAGGGGTGGACTGACAACTCATGGGGCCCCCGGGCAATAGGGGATCATGGGGCCCCTGTGTCCTTGCCCAAACTCAAAAAAGCCTATGAAGAAGGTACCAGGGGCATCTCATGGGGCCCCTACTGACCCCGGGCCCTTGGGCAGTGCCCGAGTTTCCAAATGGTCAGTCCGCCCCTGGTGCTTAGAATATATAACATCTGAACTGGGAGGGCGACTGTTGAGCCCCTGAAACGCATTTGTCATGCGAGAACTAATTTTGAAATTGCGCTGCAGCAAATCGCACGGGTTAAGAACAAGATATTCACATTCATTCGATGCGATTTCAATTCCCAAATTCGCTACACTGAAGTGTAAATGCAGCCTTGTAGTGAGGTCCCCGTGGTGGCTATAATACTGTCTCACCAGCAGAGGGCAGCAGTGTATCATTAAGGATTTTCAGCTCATGGTGATCAGAGGAGCAAAGAATTTTAAGGGCCAGTTGACACTCCATGCGATTTAGTTGCTTTTTTTCTGCATCCAAAACGCAAAAAAAGTCGATGATATGGTGGTCAATGTCATAGTTCACATCAGTGCTTGCAGTTCCGGTGCGTTTCGGTTGCATAAAAAAAAGTGGAACCGGCTGCATTTTTCTTGAACTGCACTGGAATGCGGTAAAAACGCATAAAAATGCCTCTTTGGACAGGCGCGATTTTGATGCGACTTTGATGCTACGTGAGTGCCGGAGAGTGTAAAGTTGCATCAAAGATGCACTACATGAACAGAACTGTCTTACTTTCCTACTGGCAAAAAAAATAGCTTCAAAGTCGCACCCATCCAAAGCTGCATTCAAAGTCACATCAAAGTCGCACCCATTCAAAGTCACATCAAAGTCGCACCCATCCAAAGTCGCTTGAAAGTCACACCCATCCAAAGTCACATCAAAGTTGCATCCATTCAAAGTCGCACCCATCCAAAGCTGCTTCAAAGTCACATCAAAGTCGCACCCATTCAAAGTCACATCAAATTTGCATCCATTCAAAGTCGCACCCATCCAAAGCTGCTTCAAAGTCACATCAAAGTCGCACCCATTCAAAGTCACATCAAAGTCGCACCCATCCAAAGTCGCTTGAAAGTCACACCTATCCAAAGTCACATCAAAGTCACATCAAAGTTGCATCCATTCAAAGTCACATCAAAGTTGCATCCATTCAAAGTCACATGAAAGTCGCACCCATCCAAAGTCGCTTGAAAGTCGCACTCATTCAACACATCAGAGTCGCACTCATTCAAAGTCACATCAAAAGTCGCACCTATCCAAAGTCACATCAAAGTGGCACCTATTCAAAGTCACATCAAAGTCGCACCCATACAAACTCTCATCAGTCGCACTCATTCAAAGTCACATCAGAGTCGCACTCATTCAAAGTCACATCAAAGTCGCACCCATACAAACTCTCATCAGTCGCACTCATTCAAAGTCACATCAAAGTCGCACCTATCCAAAGTCACATCAAAGTCGCACCTATCCAAAGTCACATCACCTCATCAGTCGCACTCATTCAAAGTCACATCAAAGTGGCACTCATTCAAAGTCGCACCTATCCAAAGTCACATCAGTCGCACTCATTCAAAGTCACATCAAAGTCGCACCTATCCAAAGTCACATCAGTCGCATCCATTCAAAGTTGCTTCAAAGTTAACTTGTCATTACTTGCTATTGGAAAAAAAAAAACGCAAAACGCATCAAAAACACACTGCATGCGATTCTGCCGGGTGTCCATTGAAGTCTATTGAACCAAAAATGCATCTAGTTGCGTTTAAAAAAAAAAAGTCCCCGACCCTTTCCATAAACGCAGCGGCTGAAAAACGCACAGATGTAACCGTGAAGCCGTGTTCCATGGACTGTAATGTGTTTCTGCAAATCGCAGTAATGGACGCCCGGGTGTTGCTCCGGGGGGGGGGGGTCTCTCTCCGTTGTCCGGCCCCCAGATCACCCTCTCTGGTTTGTGCCGTAATCGCAGGTACATCATCGGGACGCTGGATTTGATGGTCGTTGAGGATTACACGCTCATCTACCTGAACGGATGCACGCCGCGGAGCAAAGTCCCGCCCATCGGTTGGATCAAGCGCTGCTACCAGGCCACCGGGAGGCGGTAAGTGCGGCGGGCGCCGGTGACAGGTACACTTTACAGTGATGTCTGTGGCGGGTTATTTGCCTCTCCCCCCCCCCCCCCCCCCGGGGCTTTCTGGGCCTCATTCACACTTGGGAGACGCGGGCAGAAATGCGTGTTTCTGCAAACGCACGGGAAACATGATAAAATGCACGGCAGGCTCGCTGCGCCATTATTTCTTAATGTGAGTCGCGGTCGCGCAGTTTGCGTGCTGTCAATGCGTGACGCAAACCGCGTCCTAAATTTAGTACATGAGATTCTTTAGCGCAGAGGGCGGGACGTTCAGATCCAACGTGCCGCTCCAAAGACACGTTGTAAAAATGACACGCGGGAGCGTCACTCAGGTGTGAACGGGGCTCCGCACTCTGGTTTGGGATTGGTGCTCCTGGTTTCTCGGCTCCGCCTTAATCATGGCGAGGGAGCCCCTCCCTCCCTACTGATGGATTCTGGATTCTAAAGTCCAAAGTTTTTTTTTGTTTTTTTTTTTCCCTTCCAGACCAGCCCCAGAATCACTTTGAGGGTCTTTATGCCTGGGGGGGGGGGGGGGCAGGAAGGACGGGTTAATCACGTGACCACTGTGAGTGGCTGTCACAGTGGTCACATGATCGGGAGACAATGGTCACCAGGATTTTCCTTTGCTTCTTGTCTCAGGGGACAACAGTCACCAAGATTTACCTTCACTTCCTGTCTCAGGTGAGGATTTTCCTTCACTTCCTGTTTCAGGTGACAACGGTCACCATGATTTTCCTTCACTTCCTGTCTCAGGTGGTAATAGCCACCAAGATTTTCCTTTACTTCCTGTCTCAGGGGACAACAGTCACCAGAATATTTCTTCACTTCCTGTCTCAGGTGAGGATTCTCCTTCACTTCCTGTCTCAGTTGACAACGGTCACCAGAATATTCCTTCACTTCCTGTCTCAGGTGGTAATAGTCACCAAGATTTACCTTCACTTCCTGTCTCAGGTGAGGATTTTCCTTTACTTCCTGTCTCAGGGGACAACAGTCACCAGAATATTCCTTCACTTCCTGTCTCAGGTGGTAATAGTCACCAAGATTTACCTTCACTTCCTGTCTCAGGTGAGGATTCTCCTTCACTTCCTGTCTTAGGTGACAACGGTCACTAGAATATTCCTTCACTTCCTGTCTCAGGTGAGGATTTTCCTTCACTTCCTGTCTCAGGTAAGAACAGTCACCAGAATATTCCTTCACTTCCTGTCTCAGGTGACAACGATCACCTGGATTTTCCTTCACTTCCTGTCTCAGGTGACAACGGTCACCAGGTTCCAACCCCTCACAAATCCATCCAAAAAAAAAAAAAAGTTTAGACTTTAGAAACACTTTAAAGAGTGCGGCAGTAGGAGTGAGACTCCCAACCTGATGTCCCTCTCCAGGCACAGGAACAGTTTCTTTTGCTGCAAGGCTGTTGTCTTTCTTTTTTTTTTTGTAGGTTAAAGAAGAACCTGAAGTCGGTGTTGATCGTTCACCCCACGTGGTACGTGAGAGCCCTGCTGGCCATCGTCCGGCCCTTCATCAGGTTAGCTCCTTTTTTTTGGTCCTTCATCCACCCATCTGTTATGTCATGTGACCGCACAGCCCGTGCAGGAGCACGGTCGGGGAGTGACACCAAAGCTGCACATAGGAGCTTCAAGGAGAAGCTACCGAGATACCGTTGGCTTTTCCTTCACCGCCTAGTAAATCACTTGCTTGTCGGAAGCATGCGGCCAGTGAAGTGTTGGGAAACCTGACCTCGCCTGGCTAGGTAGTGACGCCAAGATCGGCCTGGCCTGAGTGTCACCCGCACTTCCTGTCTCTACAGCCCCTCCACCTCTTCAAACCCACCCAACCCAACTGGGAGCCACGTCATCTCATCCAACATCAGGACGTCCAGCAAGCTCCAAGGAAAACGAACGTTTTGGACTGAGTCGAGAGGGATTAGAACCCCTGTCCATTTTTATTGCTGTCCGTGCCCCTCCCCCGTTGGGGAGATTCCCCCCCCCCCCCTCGTTTTGTCCTCTTTTGCCATTATCATTGAAAGTAAAAGAAAAACCCAAATTTTGAGTTGTCCCCAGAAACGTAATAGAGGGGAGATCTTCCAATGGGGACACTAGTTCTGGTGACCTGGAGGTCCCCTTAATTTGGGGTTCTAACCCTCCCTTACTGTATCCAAATTTTTTTTTTTTTTAAATTGGCTATGGTTCTAGAGTAAGAGAGGGTTAGAACCCAAAATGAAGGGGACCTCCAGGTCACCAGAACTGTGTGTCCCTGTTGGAAGATCTCCCCTCCATTACGTTTCTGGGGACAACCCAAAATTTGGGTTTTTCTTTTAGAGGGGAGATCTTCCAGTGGGGACACTAGTTATGGTGACCTGGAGGTCCCCTTAATTTGGGGTTCTAACCCTCCCTTACTCTAGAACCATAGGCAATTTTAAAAAAAAATTTTGGATAGAGTAAGGGAGGCTTATAATCCCAAATTAAGGGGACCTCCAGATCACCAGAACTAGTGTCCCCAGTGGAAGATCTCCCCTCTAAAAGAAAAACCCAAATTATGAGTTGTCCCCAGAAAGCTGCAGGCTTCCATAGGATGGTAAAAGAAGCACCACCTGGCCAAACCCTTGTGGATCCTAGGAGGGTTAGGACCCCAAATGAAAGGGGACTTCAGGAAGTACCCAGAATAGTGTCCCACTCGGAAACGGACCATCGCGTCTAGTAAAAGTAGAACCATAGGCAATTTTTACTCTAGTCAAACATTTTGGATAGAGTAAGGGAGGGTTATAACCCCAAATTAGATTTTTGTGGAGATTTCCCTTCACTTCCTGTCCCGTAGCCAAACAGGAAGTGAGTTTAAATCCCTTCAAATTAAGGAGACCTCCAGGTGATCAGAACTAGTGTCCCCATTGGAAAATTTCTCCTCTATTACATTTCTGGGGGGCAAATAGAGAGGGGGGAATCCCCCAATGAGGGAGCGGGGGGGAAGGGCATGGACATCAATAAAAACTGACAGGGGTTCTAATCCCTCTCGACTCGGTCCAGAAGCTGCAGGCTTCCATAGGTTGGTAAAAGAGGCACCACCTGGCCAAACGCTTGTGGAAAACGGACCGTCACGTCTAGTAAAAGTATCCAAAATTTAAAAAAAAAATTGCCTATGGTTCTACTATTACTAGACGTGACGGTCCGTTTTCCACAAGCGTTTGGCCAGGTGGTGCCTCTTTTACCAACCTATGGAAGCCTGCAGCTTCTGGACCGAGTCGAGAGGGATTAGAACCCCTGTCAGTTTTTATTGATGTCCATGCCCCCCCTGCCCCGTTGGGGAGATCCCCCACTCTGTTTGTCCTGTTTTACCATTATCATTGAAAGTAAAAGAAAAACCCAAATTTTGGGTTGTCCCCAGAAACGCAATAGAGGGGAAATTTTCCAATGGAGATACTAGTTTTGATGACCTGGAGGCCTCCTTAATTTGGAGGGATTTCCTCTCACTTCCTGTTTGGTTATGGGACAGGAAGTGAAGAGAAATCTCCACAATGGGACACGGATGGCGGAAAAAAAAAAATCTGACCGGGGTTATAACCCTCCCTTACTCTATCCAAAATTTTTGACAAAATTGCCTATGGTTCTGTAACTAGACGTGACTGTCCGTTTTCCACAAGCATTTGGTCAGGTGGTTCCTCTTTTTACCATCCTATGGAAGCCTGCAGCTTCTGGACCGACAGTCGAGAGGGATTAGAACCCCTGTCAGTTTATATTGCTGTCCGTGCCCCCTTCCCCCCTGTTTGTCCCAAATTTTGGGTTGTCCCCAGAAACATGATAGAAGTAAAATCTTCCAATGGGGACACTAGTTCTGATGACCTGGAGGTCTCCTTAATTTGAAGGGATTTCCTCTTACTTTTACCATCTTCTGGAAGCCTGCAGCTTCTGGACCGAGTGGAGATTGAATTGGAACCCCTGTCAGTTTTTATTGCTGTCCCTGCCCCCCAGGGAGATTCCCTCCTCTCTGTTTGTCCCAAATTTTGGGTTGTCCCCAGAAACGTAATGGAGGGGAGATCTTCCAATAGGGACACTAGTTCTGGTGACCTGGAGGTCTCCTTAATTTGAAGGGATTTTCTCTCGCTTCCTGTTTGGCTATGGGACAGGAAGTGAAGAGAAATCTCCACAATGGGACACGGATGGCGAAAAAAAATCTGACCGGGGGTATAACCCTCCCTTACTCTATCCAAAATTTTTGACAAAATTGCCTATGGTTCTTCTGTAACTAGACGTGATGGTCCGTTATCCACAAGCGTTTGGCCAGGTGGTGCCTCTTTTACCATCCTATGGAAGCCTGCAGCTAGAGAAGATGTACTTTTTGGAGTTTTTCAGTTCCTAATACTTTTTTTTTTTTTCCCCCCAATATCTATTTCAGTGCGAAGTTTGTGAAGAAGGTGACTTTCGTTAGAAATTTGACGGAACTCTCACAACTGGTGCCACTGGATCCCCTCCATATACCGGAATGTATACAGCAGTGAGTAAATTGCTTTGTAGCCCAGTGCTCCGGCCAAAAATGTATTTTTACTTCTGGATAGCGTGGGGTGGGGGGGTTCTGGGTTTTTTTTGGTGTCCAAAACTCTATTTGGGGGGGGGGGGGGTTCTTTGCCACCTGCAGTCTCTGTGACATCATGGTGAGAAGATAGAGAAAAGCTGAGTCAGAGGTCACATAGAGAAAAGCTGGCTCAGGGAGTCAGAGGTCACCTGAGTCTGTCTACTACCTGACCACACAAGATGTCCTCCAGCCTCCAAGTGTGCACCATGTGAGGTCAGGCGGTTGACCCATGAAGCAGCTGTTGGTCTTTAGGTGACCTCTCACTCAAGCTGACCAATCAGTGGTTTAAATATATCGAAGACTACATTTTGGGGGCACTTTGCTCCCCTCTCGCTTTTGGCACCTGACTCCCTTTAACCTCGATTCCCCCTCTACATTCTTCTCATTCTTTTTTTTTTTCTTTCCTTTATACAAAGTCTACTCCGTGTTCCTTTCACGTTTCTTTTGTATGGCCAACTGTCTGGTGGAATTACGACCAGGGGCGTGTTTACCACAAGGCATTTGCCTAGGGGGGCAGCCCCCTACCTCCGGAAGAAGGGACATGTGCGGCATGGGGACCAGGTGGGATCCAAGAGAGGTTGCGGGCTGCTTGATGGTGTATGGAGAGCCGACTCTCGTTCCCAGGGATGTCCGGAGCTGTGAAGGTGTTCCTTTCTCTCTCTCTTGCTGTGGTGGTGGGGGGGATGTTAGTGGAAGACTCTCTCAGGTGGGAGAGGATGTTAGTGGAAGACTCTCTCAGGTGGGCGAGGATGTTAGTGGAAGACTCTCTCAGGTGGGAGGGGATGTTGGTGGAAGACTCTCTCAGGTGGGCGGGGATGTTGGTGGAAGACTCTCTCAGGTGGGCGGGGATGTTGGTGGAAGACTCTCTCAGGTGGGCGGGGATGTTGGTGGAAGACTCTCTCAGGTGGGCGGGGATGTTAGTGGAAGACTCTCTCAGTTGTGCGGGGATGTTAGTGGAAGGCTCTCTCAGGTGGGCGGGGGGATGTTAGTGGAAGACTCTCTCAGGTGGGAGAGGATGTTGGTGGAAGACTCTCTCAGGTGGGCAGGGATGTTAGTGGAAGACTCTCTCAGGTGTGCGGGGATGTTAGTGGAAGACTCTCTCAGGTGGCCTGGGATGTTAGTGGAAGACTCAGGTGGGTGGGGATGTTAGTGGAAGACTCTCTTAGGTGGGCGGGGATGTTGGTGGAAGACTCTCTCAGGTGGGCGGGGATGTTGGTGGAAGACTCTCTCAGGTGGGCGGGGATGTTGGTGGAAGACTCTCTCAGGTGGCCTGGGATGTTAGTGGAAGACTCTCTCAGGTGGGCGGGGATGTTAGTGGAAGACTCTCTCAGGTGGGCGGGGGGATGATGGTGGAAGACTCTCTCAGGTGGGCAGGGGCTGTTGTTGGTCAATGTCAGGCTCTCTCCACCACTCTAACCACTGATTACGACACCACTCAATTCCCATAAATTCTTCGTAGGTCCCATTGACGACACGGAATCCAGAAGTTCTCCTTTGCTCTTCCTATTAATGAATCTTTTTTGTGAAAATGTCTACATTATCTATTGCTGACCAACGTTGACTTTGTGTGTTTTTTTGCATCATCCGGCGTTGTGTCTTCTCCAGATTTGATGACTATGACTCTTCTAGGTTGGACCTTGAGCAGAAGCGGTAAGGCTGAGGACATCGGTGGAATGCAAATGCTGAACGGGTGCTGCAATGATGGAAGATGGACCTTGCTGGGAAACTCTGCCCGATTTTACAGAGACGAACGGTCATTGGACTTGACCGCAGGAGGCTTGGGCCTGTCGCTGGTTGGTGTGACCCTGTTCCGAGATATTTTGTACACTTATTTTTATGGTGAAGAGGCTCACATATGATACTGGACTAAGTAAAGAATAGTTGCACATGCTGACATGAACTTTGCTACACCTTGAGGTCCAGCAGGACTAACCAACATACTGTATGTGGTGGCACATTGGCCAAAAATGGAACAAAATTGAAAACGTTTTTTGGTGGGAATGATAGTGCTGCTTCTCTCATCCAAAATGAGGTCAGTGCTGAAGAGAAGGAAACCCTCATGAGATATTGGACATGGAAGCTACCACAGTTCTGGGTCACCTCCTAGATCCAGAGTGGTACAGCTAAATCTTTTGGAAATTTTTAATGTCCATCTTGCATCGAAGGTCTCGGA